GTTTACCAAACTAAAAAGCACTCTCTTTTCGTTAGGCCCTAAAATAGGACATGTGGACTTTTGGAGCTAAGGACCATACTAGTTTTGGAGAAGCATGCCAGGGATGACATACCAGCAGGGCCACAGAGTTGGCTTTATATATGATAACAGCCCTCAGACACTTTATGCTGTTTCCTGGAACATACATTTAGTTCCTTCATTAGAGGAATAGCAACCGAAAATATGGAGATACGTGTCCACAACCAAAATCAATTCATGCACACAAAAAAAGTCTGGTGTTGATTTCAGTTTGACTTGAAAATATTTTATAAAATCCAGTTCTGCAATAGGATGTGTGAATGACCTTGGGAGACAGCAGGAAGAGCTGGAGACTAGACCACTGTCATGCAAAAGGTATCTCAGGGAATAGAAACAGAAGGACATGGGAAGTATCTTAGAAGGGACCTTCCTTAGTTTTCTGGAAAGTAAAAGTAAAGGAGCCTAACCTCAACTCTAAGTCTTAATTTTAATAATAGTTGAATATAACTGTATTGAAAGGGCTGAGCTATCAAATTGCCATGAAACTATTCTTCCTTAATTCAGGTTGATGTGTAAGCATAAAAGGCAGATATTTCTTCCAGTGGAATAATATGAACTTATTTTTTTTAATGCTATATTGCTTTGTAAACTTTCCCATGTGAGATGTGCATTGCAATTTGCCTTTTTTTACTGACAAATAGAGCCAGTGGAAATACGAAAGGTTCAAGAGAATATACAGTGCGAATATAAAGAAATTCCCACCTACCCTCACCCTCACTCAAGAAGAGATGTGGTTACATGGAGTATCCCATAACATAACACTTCTATCTCCGTGATTTCATTTTTAATAGTAATTTTATTGAACACTGCAGTAAAATGATCAGTGGGATCCATTCTATGACTGCCTTGCTCCACCTGCCATCAGCTCTTCTTGCTATGTGACCAGCCCATTTCCATTTCAATTCTTTTGTTCTTTTGATGGCATTGTATATTTTTGTTTGTTTTCCATGTGCAGGTCTTTCTATCTTGTCATATGATGCCGAGCTCTTTGTGCCACTTGTAGCTTTTGTATTGTGAGGTCAGTGTCCATGTTTCGCTGGCATATGTTAGAATAGGTAGCACACACTGATCAGAAGTTTTTCCCGTCAGGCATACGGGCATATTATTTAGTATTATTTAATACCGAATAATAGAACTTGAAAATATGCAAGTTTGTAATTTAACAGAGATCCCTGAAATAAATTGCTACTTAGTTGTTGCTTTTGTTGAATGAAAAATTTAGGCCAGATTTCCCTCTGCTGAGGTCCTCAGATTTCTTTGATTATAGCTTTCATTACATCCAAATACTGTACCTTTGCATAACAGAATTTGCACTCTCACTCATTTTGAAGGTCCAAGGCAGGGAAGTTGCTCACAACCGATTTGCACCAGGGAGCCACAAATGGTTCAAGAAACAGGACCCTAGCCTACCTAGAAACTAAGAAGCTGCCATCTATGCTCTGCAGTAATATGGTATAATTTAATACATTGCCGCATTGGCTCTGTATGTACAGTATATATTTTTATTAGAGTTGGTCCTTGGATTACAATGGCAATTGAGAAATTGCATGGTCTGAAAAATGCTGTTGCAAACATTGCAGCATCACATGACTGCATTGCTTAACGACTTAATGTCAGCAATCCTGGCTGTCCCATTGCCTTTGTTAAGTGGACACTATGCAAGTCTTTAAGTGAAGGCTCGCATGACAGTGAGGTGAAAAAGATGTTGAAACCAAGTGCCAAGGAAGCAGGCTGGCAGGTGAGAGTTACGGGGAGTAAGGTGCTATGGAGTAGCAGTGGGGTGCCATAAATTGGTACTACAGACTGCAGGTGGGCAGGCCATGGTGTGGAGTGGCACTGCAGAGTGTGGGCAGGTGCTATGGAGTGCAGGTGGGCAGGCACTGCAGAATACCACATCCCCATGTTGCCCAGGGCTCCTCAAATGAAGGGAGTGGGAAGAATCTGCAGGCTTTCCTATTGACTTTTCTTGTACAAAGCTGGCAGAGAAAGTCGCAATTGGCCATCACGTGACTGTGGAATGCTGCAACTGTTATAATTGCAAGCCAATTGACAAACACTTGAATTGTGCTGGGGACATTATGACGATAGCAATTTTGAGGACTGGTCATAAGTCCTTCTCATTCAGTGCCATCGTAGTTTTGAATGGTTGCTGAACAATGGTGTAATCCAGTGGTAGGTTTCAATTTTTTTTTTACTACCGGTTCTGTGGGTGTGGCTTGGTGGGTGTGGCTTGGTGGGTGTGGCAGGGGAAGGATACTGTAAAATCTCCATTTCCACCCCACTTCAGGGGAAGGTTACTGCAAAATCCCCATTTCTTCCTGATCAGCTGGGACTTGGGAGACAGAGAATAGATGGCCAGTCAGAATTTTTACTACCGGTTCTATGAACTACTCAAAATTTCTGCTACTGATTCTCCAGAACAGGTCAGAACCTGCTGAAACCCACCTCTGGTGTAATCCAAAGACTAACTGTATTAACCTATTGATCCCTTTCATACTCACCCCAAAGATTAGCTATTGCAAGTTGGAAAGTTCTATTTATTCCTCTTTTTAAAGCTCATTTTTTGAAACTTACGTAAACTGATCACCAGAATTATATTAAGAGTTGATTAGGAGCCTTTCCATGCTGCTAAAAAATCCACCCATTTTTAAGAAGTTGGCAGAACATCATGTTGTTATGACAGTTGCTATCCGTGTTGACCCCGGCCTCTAATTGATGACAAATAAATGACAATGCCTAACAGATTTTATACAGCTGCCGACTGCTGTTGGGCTGTTTCAGAACAATGGGGGAACACTGAGATTGGTACTGTTACAGGTAGGGTTTACTTAAGTTTTTAATGTTTTGGGGAAAAAGATGAAAGCAGTGATATGGGGATACAGCAGAACAAAGATATTGCCAAGGCACGTTTGAATCATGGTTAGGTGCAAGCAGAAAAAAGCAATGTCTTTCATGATGGAATGCCCCTTGTATCTTAATGGAGAAAGAGCTATCATGTATTGTGTCTTTGGGTTTTATTTATTTACTTTTCTCTTTGTAATAAAAGCCTGCCATTCTTTTCCATCTGAAGGCCATGCTACATATCAAAACTGGTCAGAAAGTAAAACAATCCGATATATAAATAGGAAATAAAAGAATCAGAGTAGCCATCAATCAGTATAAAATACTGTATATCTCCCTTTGGTTTTCACTTAATGTTTTTTCATGCTGTAGGTGTTGTTTAGAAAGAAACAATGGTTCCACCCCACAAAATGTCCTTCTGGATATCCCGATTTTCATTTTCAATGCTACTGAAGCACCACCAGAACAGAAACCTTAATGATGAGAAGCTCTTTAACCCCCTCCAGGTTGTTCTCTTCATATCAGTGGTGGGTTGCCCCTGGTTTGGACCGGTTCGCAAGAACCGGTAGTATAACCGGCGGGAGGCCCCGCCCACCGCCCCAGATGTCATCATCGGCGATCTGCGCATGCACAGAAGCAAGGCGACCCCGTTGCGAACCAGTAGTAAAGGTAAGTAGAACCCACCCCTGCTTCAGATGGTCATGCCATTTCCTCCAAGGCAGGGGTGTCAAACATGATTTCATTGAGGCCGCATCAGGATTGTGTTTGATCTCAGGGGGGCCGGGGGGCATAGCCAGGGTGGGCATGGCCATCTTGATGTCACTCGTGGCAGGGGCACCTGTGGTGGTCAGGGGGGATCCTCCTGCTGCCCTCTACCAGTAAAAACAGAGCCTGGGAGAGCTGTGTGTGGCCCTCCCCGGCTCCATTTTCACTGGCAGAGGCCTGGAGGCTGTTGTGGCCAAAAACAGAGCCTGGGAGGGCCGTTTTCACTGGCAGAGGGATGGAGAAGGCCGTTGTTGGCAAAATGGGGCCCTGGAGGGCTGCACGCAGCCCTCTTGAGCTCCATTTTTGCTGGCAGAGGCACCACGGGCCGGTCCTTCGCTATTTCCAGGGCAGCCCCACGGGACAGATGATCTAAGCACCCCGTGGGCCAGATTCAGCTCGCAAGCCTTGCGTTTGCCACCCCTGCTTCAAGGGATCAGAGGGTTGTATTCAAAATGATGTTACAACAGTCTAGAAATGTTTTCAAAACTGCTTTTCTGCCTATAGATATTGAATTAAATAGTTTATTAAAATGGTTCAATAAGGATCTTAAAAAATAAAGTAGTGGGATTGACAATAGCTTCCCAAAACCAGAAAATAATAAAAATGGATATGATGAGGTGGAAAATGCATTTTGCAAAATGCTTTTGGAAAGATGTCAATGGAGGTTCTCAGTCATCCAACTCATAGTTATCCCAAAAGTGCTTTTTTCAAAAGGCAACTGGATTTTATTTTTCCTTGAAGTTAGAACTGAAGATGCTTCTTGGATGAGACGTGAAATGTCCTCAAGGAAAAATAAAGTCCAGTTGCCTTTTTAAAAAAACACATTTGGGATTTTTTTGGAAGATTAATAATTCTGCAAATCTGTTTGGAAGAGCCAAAAGTACTAAAAAATATTTAAGGTGAATTTAGACTCAGATGTAAAAATGTCAATTTATATGGATGAAAAGCAACCAAGACCTAAGTGAGTTGTTGCTTTCCTTGAACAATACTAATATAATTGGATTGGAACAACAGTTAATATATAGAGAATTGGGGTAGAGGATATACTATATGTGATTAAATAGGCTGAAATTCATTAACAGTTTGGGAAACCACCAAGAAATCCTCTGTGAATTTCTCAAAATTATTTAAGACTCATTCTAATGAAGCAGACATGATGCATTCAGAAGGAGGCAAGGCTTTCAAACAATCCATAGCCACCTAGTGTGTTATATGTAATAACTATAAATATCAAATTCATTTACTCAAACTTTGAAGATAAGACAGAAGACAGTATTTACTTGGCATTTTTAAAAATACAATTATATACGTGTGTGTATATATAAAGGTAAGGCTTTTTATTTACATAACACTAGATATGATAAAGCTATTGTCTTTGTACATAATAAATTATTAGTTTGGAAAGATTACATAAAAGCAGAGCATATCAGTTCTTTTCATATGAAGTTACCTGTTCATGTCTTCCCAAAGATAAGCGGGACTGCTCTTAAACTTATCTCCCCTCCCAACAAATGACAAATAAGCAAACAAAAAGGACAGAGATCTCCATATTTCTTTTTCATGCTAGAAAGAACACATGAGTATTGTTAATGGTACTGAATAGTGTCATACGTGAGACTTGCAAGGTTGGTGGGATCAGAAGAGGTGAATTTGTATACTTTCAATAATGTTGGGTTCCTTCTCTGAGGAAAACTGATGGAATCTCCCTAGTTTGGGATTGCTTCATTTTACTTTGCCAATAAACATCAACTGCTATAACGCTCCAAGCTACCATTACAAATGTGGCTTTTTCCAAAAGAGAGAGAGGGGGAAACTGGGAAATGCTGTTAATAATAATTTCAGATCTCTGAAATACGCCCTCCCTTAAAAGTCTGTTTATTTGGGACAAAGCCATTTCAGGCAGCTCCTGCTCATTTTCACTTGCCTTAAAGCAGATTTGAAGATATGAAAAATGACTTAATCGGTATGTGAGACATACACCACAGGAAAAGAACTAGATGGTTTTGACCTAATAATAGGTAACCTCAAGATGTGTATATACAATAGAGCTATCAGATCCAGCCTGCAAAAATCTAGATGGCCAGTAAATGGAAGGGGTTTTTGTATCTCTTTGCTGACATCTTGTGGTTACCTTGGTTTTTGCAGCCAAAAAGTTAAAATCCAGGTGGTCCTCAGTTTATGATGGCAATTGGGACCAAATCTGCCATCAGTAAGAGACACGGTAATAAAGTGAGATGTTGCTGGCTGTGTCGCTTAGTGACAGCAATTCTAGTAGCCCCAGTTCCCATAAACCAGGCTCACATCGATTGTTGAATGAGGATCTCGCATGACTGCGAGCTCTGAATTCTCCATTGATTTTGCTTGTGGGAAGCCAACAGAAAATGTTGGAAATCAAATCACATGATTGTGACTCACTGTGACATTGCAATTTCAAGCCAGGAGCTGCATTCACATGACTGTGGGATGCTGGGTCAAAGAATGGTAAGGATTGTCATGAGCATTCATTCAGCACAGTCTGAACTTTGAAAGGTTGCTGAAGAAATGGTTGTAACCTGAGAACTCCCTGTAAAGAGTTGATTTCGTTGTGTATCCTGTAAGGAGCTTCTTTTCAAATAATTCTGTGAATTTAACTTTTTGGGTGTAGATCTAACAGATTAACGGAAGGGACCTTGTAGGTCATCTAGTCCAATCCCCTGCCCAAGCAGGAGACCCCACACCATTTCTGACAGATGGCAGTCTAGTCTCTTCTTAAAAGCTTCCAGTGATGAAGCTCCCACAACTTCTGAAGGCAACTTCTGTTCCATTGGTTGATTGATCTGTCTAAGCTCTCTAATTCTCAAAGTCTTTGGGAGATATTAATTAGCTAAACTGGCAAAATGTATTGTTTAACTTAATCCTTTGCAAGTTTCCTTAGAAGTAAGAACCAATGTAATAAATGGGTCTTACTCCCAGGATTGCAGCCTAAGCTTTGCAGTATAGTTATTAACTTCAGCTGTTCAGATTTTAAGCTCTGATTTACCTACTGATATGGATAAATGTATATATTACTGTATATGTATGTATATGATCATAATGGAATGGTAGATAGGACTGCTAATATTTGGGGGGTGGGATTAGGGTAGGCTATATAATGTGATTTCAGAAATCTGCCCCAGAAAGTTATTTTTTTGCAGATCTTTCTTAAGTTATAGTGAACAATACTGTGTGAACCTGGAAAAAAAATGTTGCTCCTCTAAGAATCACACTTACTTTAATGAACTGACTTCTTAAAGCAACAGTCAAGTCTGGAAAAAATCAAATTGTGTTAAAGAACAGGAAGGAGGTGTTGTGTTTGTACAAGGCCTACAGCATTTCTCCCAAATTATTTTTAAGCTCATATAGTGCTAGTGGATGCGATGTCTTTCCCAGTTATGGTCCAAGGAAAACCGTTAGAATGCTGTGGAATAATAATAAAAACATTCTACAAGAAAATGTTAATTCTTAAAAGTGGTACATACTGAATAATGACACTCAAGTACTGGAATTGATTTCAGGCCCTTCAGCCTAGATAAAGAGATGGTTAACTTCTTTTTGCTGGCTGAGTAGATCTCTCTGTGACCAAATTTTCTTAAATCTACCTATGTTCCAGAGGACTGTCAGCAAAAAGGACTAATAAAGTGTCAACCTTTTAAGGCCTTATATACAGCGCACAGGATAACCGGCCGATGCACCTGAGGACAAAGTTGCAATGGTATTTATCTTAAGCTATTCAGAAATGTAGTGAGGCTGCTAGGACTAACTAAGCCTTGCTTAGATAGCAGCACCAGGTGAATCTAAGGGCTTTATTAATATCTTGCTTTCTCTGAAATCATGCAGGATTCCAAGGTATTCCAGAGAGGTCTGTAGAGATTCTCAGTCGTCCAGGTCATGGTTGTCCCAAAGAAGAAGCTTCTTGGATGAGAAGTGAAACATCTTCAAAGAAAAAACAAGAAAGTCCAGTTGCATCCTGAAAAAAGCACCTTTGGGACCTTCCAGAGAAAGTATCAACCATTCAAGCAAGGGTTCTTTGCATTTCTCAGGATTTCATTGAAAAAAAAAAATCCAGAAATTAAAATAGCATGGAAAAGAAAAGTTAGGAGGATATCCTTTTCGTGGACCTGTGAACACAATTGTTTACTGGCATGCTAACTAGGCATGTCAACTTATTTTTCTGGTAGGATTTTTTTTGTGGTGTTAACAATACATGACAGGTAGAATTATTAGCAAACAGAAGGTCCTTTACTAAAAGTGCTACCTTCTCTTTAACAGAATTATCTTTGCAGCACAGAAAGCCCTGCCAGAAGAAGCAGACAACCCAAACAATAGCCCAATATTTTGCAATACAATCTGGATGTATTTGTAAAACCAATCCTCACAGGACATTGTTCCCTGAAGTGGCCATGCCATGACCTTGAGGCTGATTTTAAGAAAAATAAACAACCATCACTAACTGAAATTTCCCTCTACTTGTTGCAATACTTCCCACAACCATAGAAAACATTTAAAAATCCTTATGCCATTTCTCCAAATGATGAATAGAAACAGAGATGCTTAAGTTACTACAGGTTAAGTCTTCATTTATTTCACTGATATATTTTCTCAAGGGAGGAAGTTACTTTTTCATTGTGTGTTTATTTGAAAGGAGATCTTGTTACATCATAGCAAAAACTTGGGGGTCACCTTAATAGGGACCTGTAGTTCTTTCCTGATCTTTCCAATATGTAGTCTTATACCATCTCTCAAAAGTTCTAATGAGTTTCTCAAGCAGAAGATGTTAAGGCACCAGCTTGTCTTTTGCCCTTGTGCGCTGGAGTATTTTAAGTCATGAGCCACAGTGGGGACAAAACGTTAAATTGATTAACTGACTTTAAAGCTAGATACTTTCTTTGTCTTTTCATCAGAACAATAAGATATTTTTTCTCCGTTTCATACCAGAACAGATCTGTCTCAGGACTTAATAAAAAGCTGCACTTCAGCTGTAAGTTTGAGATGCAGGCCTGCCATTCAAATGACTTGGGTGATAGATAGTATTGCAGCAGAGTAAATGATTGTGGATGTCTGTGTGTGGTTTGCGTAAACAAGCTAAGAATTCTGTAAAGTATTTTGTCTAGTGCTGATCCATTCCAAGACAAGCTGTTGATGATTGTTCTAGGAGCCTTAATTCTTTCCTCTCCCTTTTTTTTTCCCTGGGTTATATTTGCTTCTCTGTACTTCTTCGCCTCTCTGTAAACATTCCAGTCAAATAAACAGTGAGTATTATAAAGGCTTCATACATGCAGCTAAGTCTGGGCATGAGAAAGTGGGAAGTCTGAATTCAGCAAAGGTAGATCAGCAACGGGCCTTATCGCCTTTTTGATTTTCTCTGCAAAACCCCAAATACTTTTTGCCCTGCCGTTTGAAAAATGGCAATAGAAACAAAATGTTTTCAGCATCACACCTTGGTCAGCAGAGCCAAATGTTTCATAAGCCATGTAAACCGAAAGAACAGCTGGCTTCCGGCAAGGACTGCTCTCCCACCCCCCTACCCCACCTCAAAGTGTGCTCAAGGTCTGGAAGCAGCATAGAGAACAAACTTGTTGGCTAAGGCCACAGTAAAAAGTTTTCCGGTGTTTACGTTTCTGCTGCCAGCCTTACTCAAGGGTGTATTCACAGTGGACACATTGATCCACATCTCTTTCCTCCAGCCACCAATCACGGGGAAGAAGTCCATGTTATTCGACTCCGGCTCTCTGCTTTGTAGTGTCGTAGGATCGAACAACTTGAGACTGAGAAACGACCCCGTGCTCCTCTTGAGAAAAAGCGTAACCATCTGGAGGGAGAAGAGGAAAGAGCCAACAAAGAGATTTGGAATCAGAGAGAGGTTACAGTTTGTTTCTTTCAAGAACGATGAGAAGAGGAGTGTGCAATGGATGCAATACGAGAGAAGATCAGAAGCAGTTAAACCCAGTTCAGTCCACACAACCACAGTCTTTTTTTTCTGATATTCTTTCAGGGTAATGTGGATAACGCAGAACAGAAGGGACCATTATCCCAGCCCTAGATCTCCAAACTCGATTGAAGAAAATATGACTTCAGCAACAGAGTGGTCAGTGCCTGGAATGCACTACCTGACTCTGTGGTTTCATCCTTTAACTAACCCCAAAAACTTTAACCTTAAACTGTCTACCGAGGACCTCACCCCATTCCTAAGAGGTCTGTAAGGGGGCGTGCATAAGTGCACCAGCCTGCCTACCATCCCTGTTTTACTGTCCTCATTAATTTATTCTCATTTCCTGTGTTCATGTCCATATTTATACTTATACCTGTTTTCTCGTACATGTTTCACAAACTAAATAAATAAGAACAAAAACCAGGAACACTGACAGATTAAACTCGTCTTCTCCCAAACTCAACATCTTACGTTCTTACCCCATCCCTGTAACCCAAGGGAGAAATATTGGGAGAACTGAACCAAATCCAGAGTGAGGAACGATGGTACCACAAACATAACTGCTGCTCTGGGAGCATTAAAAACAAAAATTGGTCCCACATCCATCATTTTCAGAGTGAACATGAGTCACATACCAAGGCATACAGTAGTTTTTAAGTACGGTGTGAGAAAGGTTTGGAGAAGTGTTTTTCAACCTTGGCAACTTTTAAAATGTGTGGAGCTCTGGCTGGCTGGGGAATTCTGGGAGTTGAAGTCCACACGTCTTAAACAGTGGTGGGTTTCAAAAATTTTTACTACCGGTTCTGTGGTTGTGGCTTGGTGGCTGTGGCATGGCTTGGTGGGCGTGGCTGGGTGGGCATGGCAGGGAAAGATACTGTAAAATCTCCATTCCCAACCCCACTCCAGGGGAAGGTTACTGCAAAATCCCCCATTTCCTCCCGATCAGCTGGGAATTGGGAGGCAGAGAATAGACGGGGGCAGGGCCAGTCAGAATTTTTACTACCAGTTCTCCGAACTACTCAAAATTTCCGCTACCGGTTCTCCAGAACTGGCCAGAACCTGCTGAAACCCACCTCTGGTCTTAAAGTTGCCAAGGTTAAGAAACACTACTTTGGAGAGAGCTGGGCCTGCTACCATCTTTCCATTTAAAAATTAACTCCTTAAGTATGAGGATTCTGCTCCATCATCTGAGAGCGGAGCAAATTTTTTTTCCTGCTTCTTCCGCAGTTTAACTTAATCTGCACTACTGTAGAGATGTTTTTTTTTAAATTACTCAGACTCAGTGAAGTTTGTCTCCTAAACATCCCAGCCTGGAAACTTTAGCTTTCTCTCACAGGAACTAATAGATTTTTTTTCTCCAAAGGACTATACAATTCCACACAAAATAGAGAGATGTGGTATATGCATTTGTGTAAGCAATGGATTTATATGCCTTTTGCATTAAGTAGGGATGAAAGGATCTTTTGTTAATCCAAGATAGGTCCCCAAGGGGCAGAGCATAATTTTTGCTCCTTGTTCTTAGCATATGAACATTGGCAGATATGAACATTGGAAAGGACATTGAGGCGATCAGGGATAGAAAATGATGTTGATGTGCAAATGCTCTTTTTCACACTTATCCTCCTTGGTAAATGTTCATTTTGTTTTATTTTGTTGTAATTTCTTTTCCTTTTTTCTTCTGTTCCCCTTTTACCACATAACCAGTTTTTAGGCCTTTCCCCACTTGTAATAATACAGAGCAAAGGCATGTCCTGGTAACATTTTTGTTCTACCATCACCCCATGATATTGTATTAATCTTGTCCTCATCTCATACATGAAACAAACCTGTCAACCATAGTTTAGTGATATTAAAGTAGGCTCTTCTGCCTTAAACTGACAAATTCTGAAGGTGGGGTAAGAAGTTAGAGGAAAGTCAATTGATTGCAGTGACTGGAAATGGAGACCATAAAAGTAGGTAGGGATTGGCAATGGAGGCAGTAAAAATCTTGCTGCAAAGATGTATGGACAGTACTTCAACTGAACAGGGAACAAATATCCTTTGAAACCAATCTCAGCTGAAAACACACACATACACACACAGTCCCGGTCCTCAGCTTACAACATTTGTTTAGTGACCATTTGAAATTACAATGGTGCTAAAAAAAGCGACGGATCCTTGCACTTATGACCATTGCAGCATCCCCACAGTCACATGATCAACATTCTGGTAGTTGGCAACTAGTGTGTATTTATGACAATGTCTCGGGGTCACATGATTGCTATTTGTGACTTTCCTAGATGGCTTCCAAACTGGTGTTCTGCTGAATATTAAAGGTAAAGATAAAGTTTCCCCTTGCATATACGTGCTAGTCGTTCCTGACTCTAGGGGGCTGTGCTCATTTCCGTTTCAAAGCCGAAGAGCCAGCGCTCTCCGAAGACATCTCCGTGGTCATGTGGCCGGCATGACTAAGTGCCAAAGGCGCACAGAACGCTGTTACCTTCCCACCAAAGGTGGTCCCTATTTTTCTACTTGCATTTTTTACGTGCTTTCGAACTGTTAGGTTGGCAAAAGCTGGGACAAGTAACGGGAGCTCACCCCATTATGCAGCACTAGGGATTCAAACCGCTGAACTGCTGACCTTTCAATCGACAAGCTCAGTGTCTTAGCCACTGAGCCATCACATCCCTCTGCTGAATATTAGCTTCCTGCTTAATTTTTTAAATTACAAGATTCCTGGCAGGAGATTCTCTGGCAGAGCATAGAACCGAGTAGGTGGCAAAAGATCTCTCTGTGAACATAAAGTTGCCTATAGAAACTAGATAGCCCATCTCCAATATAATACAAATTTCTTTTGATTTAAGCTATTGTGTGTTAAAAGGAATCTACTATTTATTCCCCCCTCCCTTTCTTGGTGCTTTGTACTATAACATTATTTGACAAGGGGTAACTGAAGTCACTGAGGACACTGGATCAGTATCATACATTTTTTTTTAAAAAAAAGGGCTTTAAAACTACAATGAAAGTTTATGGTCATGAGAAAAACAGACTTATGATTGCAATTATTCTGAACCTGGACTGGCTCCTTTAACAATTCTTCATGATTAGTACTTATGAGGGATGAGCTAACAGAATTGAATGGATGCCCCTTCTTTCTCCTTTTTTTTGGCTCAGCAACCTGGCAAATGTCATGGGACGACTTTGGCAACCTCGTAGAGAATATCTATCAGTACAAGGTCTTTCTCTGTTACTTTTCCATGTGCTGGGATAGTCTTTTTCCCCACCCCTAACACATGGATTCTTGTTCTGGCAGTCTCTCCAGCTTCACCCTAGCATGAACTGTCATGATAAAGAGGAAATGTTCGTATCCAAGTGACTCTACTCTGGACCCAGTGCAGAACTAAAAGATGAGAGTACAAACCATCAGCGATTTATTTACATGTGTATAAACAGCATCTGTAAATAACTTCTGAATTGGAATCCCATATGTGGGATGGGCAGAAATACAAGAATACAAAAAGCCTTATAGGGCAAGTTGTGTAACATGTGTAGAGACCTTTTTTTCTTCTTCTTCTAATCAGGGGTGGGCTTCAAAAATTTTAGCAAGGCGTTCCCTGCACGGTTGCTGGGTGGGTGTGGCTATGGTGGGCGTGGCCTAGTCGGCCTCCTGCACTATGGCGGGGGTGTGTGTTTTTGCCCTCCCTGGACTCCGGATGCTTTGTTCAAGCCTCCGGGAGGGCAAAAATGGCCTCCCCAGGCTCCAGAGGCCCTCTGGAGCCCAGAAACGGGCCCATTTCTGGCCTTTCCAAACTTCCGGTAGACCCATTTTTCGCCCTCCCCGAGCCTCTGTGCACGCCCTGCATTTAACACTTAACTCTTCCCTAAGGACAAATAGGAACTTAAATCTCAAGGAGAAATAACTGTGCTGTTGTTTTCTGAGTTTTTCAAACAGCCATGGATCCCCAGCCAATCTAAGTAACATAATGGGGGCAGTTATATATGGGGGGAAAATCAAGATGTATATTAATTAGTGCTAAGGATATTATGTGAAGTTTATTTCACTGAAGCAGTACCTGAACCATTAATGCAATGAGATTGCCAGTTTGAAAAAAAATTACAATCCATATCTGAAAATTGTAAAAAACTGTGTAATTCTGCCATACAAAAGCTTCATTTAAAACCATTTCAGATGTGTTATTCTTCTGAATAGCTTACAAATACAATAATAGTTTCCTTTGGATATGTTTCTCCTAATAAAGAGATTCCTGAGAGAGTGGGCAAATAAAAAGATTTTGCAAACCCTGAAGTCTACTTAAAATTTTGGAAAACACAGACACTAATTCCAGTTCCAATTGTTATGTTATTTTTGGGTCAAGTTCCCCTTGGAATCTAATCTTTGTTTTGCAAAGTTACACAAAACATTGTTTTGTACACAAAGTGCCATTTATTGCTTGTGTGTACTTTCATTTATTTCTACAGAGGTTTTACATGCAAGCTCAAGGCAGACTTTTACCTCTGTGGTATTTTAAGAACTGAGACCCTCTACACATGGTATAATACTTACGTGACACTCCTTGCTGGACAGAATGAGCACGGAAGAGGCATGGAGGGGTCTTTCTTCCTAGCCTTTTTAACAAATGGTCACGTTCATTCATGCTGCAAGACAAAAGGTCAAGTCAAGTCAATCTCCAGAGGTAGATTATGAAGCACTCCCTTAAAAAAATGGAACACATTGCGACAGAGCAGGACTTGTTGTCTCCATTTTTCTAATCCGTTTTTAGAATAAACAAGAACTGAATGAATTCTAATGTCCTCTCAGTATGTGGACATTCAGATTTAGTATTTCAAATTAACAATAAGGTTCCAGAAGAGCACATTACATGCTTTTGGCCATCTGCTATTGTGTCAAGGAAAAGGAAAGGCAAAAGGAAAGAGCAAGACAAAGTAATATAAAACATGTTAATATATCTGTTATACTTGTATTTGGTCCTGTTCAGATCTACTCATCTTGGATATAGTGATGACGATGACGACGTTGATTTCAAGAAATGCTTTTTTTTGTTTTTCATTTCATTTACGGGCCCATTCAGTCAGATCAAACACAAATGCTAACTCATTGGATAGGAATAGCATTCCATGTTTCCCCAAAAATAAGACCCTGTCTTATATTTTTTTGAACCCTGAAATAAGCGCTTGGCGTTTTTGCCATGTGCTCAAAAGCCCAATTGGGCTTATTATCGAGACCGCCTTCTACCGCATAACTCCCAGCGACTGGTAAGATCTCACAGAGTTGGTCTCCTCCGGGTCCCATCAGCTAAACAATGATGGCTGGCGGGCCCGCGGGGGAGGGCCTTCTCTGTGGCTGCCCCAGCTCTCTGGAACCAGTTACCTCCTGAGGTCCGGACCACCCCCACCCTAATGGCCTTCCGAAAAGCGGTGAAGACCTGACTTTTCTGGCAGGCCTGGGGCCCTTGATCTCGCTCTTGTGATCCGGCGAGATCCGGCCATGAATGGTGTGAATGAGTTTTAATGATTTTAATTTTTTAAATTCTTAAATGTTTTTTATAATGATTTTAAATGCATTGTGAGCCACCCTTTGGAGAGGGGCGGCATACAAATTGAATAAATAAATAAATAAATAAATATCAGGGGATGTCTTATTTTGGGCAAAACATGTACATGCAAGTTGAAACCACACTGATCAAAGAAAAGCTACATTTTTATGCTTCTTAACAAAAGCAGCAATTCTAAACTAGAAAGAAAACTTGCAAAGGATTCTGCTGAATTCAGAGACACTTTGGAAAATGAAACAAGGAAGATATACTCCAGAGGTCTATCTGAAAATATGCCCATAAGGGAAAAAATAGGCCCCAAAAGATTAGGGTTCCCATGAGAAGGTTTTCTTTAATACATACTATGGCCCACGTGGGGAAAAGTTTCTTCAGTATCTCACTGTATTAAAACCTGTGATGACTCAGTGAAGTTTGAGAGTGAGAGAGTCAATGTAGACAGAAAAAACTTAATGACCCTCAATGCAGAGGTGGGCTGTTGCCGGTTCAGATCGGTTCAGGCGAACTGGTTGTGACCCGTAGGTGGACCTGCCCCCCGCTATTCCATCCTATATTGCCATGTTTTTGAAGACACACGCATGCGCAGAAGGCCACACTCGGCTATTTGTGCTGGGCGAACTGGTTATTACAACTGGCAGCAGCCCACCACTGCCTCAGTGTAATTGTTTTGTGAAAGTTATAGAAGATGTAATGGTAGGTACCATTCTGGATGGTTTTAAAAGGACATTGACACATTCATTGAGAGTGGCAAAACTAGTATTTGTATCCATTTCATAAGTCTATGGGAAACAGGATGCTGGATTAATCCAACTTTAGTCAAATACAGGATAACTGTTCTTCTGTTTCCTTCCTGGTTCAAATATATAATTTTCTCTCTCCATTAAACTAACAATAAACACAATAGAGAAGTACTTTAAACAATTCATGTCAGGAAAATGGCCTGACTAAATCCATAGTATTTTTTTTCCATTAGAAAAACCAACAAATTCATTAATAAGCCCAAAGTATACTATGTAAACTGTATCAGTGGTGGGTTGTTCCTGGTTCTGTCCGGTTCTTTAGAACCGGTAGTAAAAGTGACGGGAGACTCCGCCCAGACATCATAATTGACGATCTGCGCATGTGCAGAAGTGCGTGCGCTCCCGTTGAGAACCGGTAGTAAAGGAAAGTAGAACCCACCCCTGAACTGTATCTGCAGTTTTTTCACAAATAAGATAAAACATAAGCCCAGAAACCTGCATAAAGCATGCAAGAATAAATATGTTTTGCTGGAGTGTAGTATAAAACAGCATTTAAAGTCCCCTTCCTGCCACTAAATCAGTTACCAAATTATGAAACAGTATATTCCCGTGCAGCCATACAAGTGTCTTCCTCTTGGGCATCATGGAAAATGGACAGCTTGTGGACAATGATTAATAAAGCCTTACTGAACGGACACACAATATCCAATCAAGTCTCAATAAAATGACACAAAAGAGTCACTTGATCCATCAAAAGTCCTCAAGATAACTTCTAGTACATGTTGCTATTTTCTCCACATGGTAAACCTCAACCCCAAACTTGTTTTTACATAAACAAGAGAGCAGAATTACAGGATTTTTTTTAAAAAAAACACCAGAAGGGTCAAAGAGCTTTAAAACAATCTGGAAAACATCTTCCTTGTCTACAAAATATTTCTGAAAATTGCAATTTTCTGTGTGGATACTCGGCAGCATTTAGCCCTTATCGGATTTTTTTTTTTAATTGCAAAATAAAAATAAAAATAAAAAAAATCTTGGAAGAATGCCATGGCACACCACTTCTGTATTGCTGGCCAGAAAACTACATGGACATGTTCTGATATCCACTAGGAAATAAATCTGGCTCAAGGAAATAGTTATCTTTGTTTCTATAGCTTATGAAATATAATGGAGTCCCAAAGAGGACAAAACATTGGGAAATTTCACTTTTAATAATGCTTTTCTATGCCCAGATGATGAATCCTTCCAATCTCATCAAGGAAAGAGAGTGGTGTGGGAATAATAATTCCAGAGCATCACCCAAGTTCCCAATTAACAGCTGTAAAAAGATTTTTTTGTTTTGTCTTATAGACCCATTCCTTTCCTTCCCCCAAAGCCAAGGATCCCTAAGCTTGGGCAAGCAACATCTGTCTTGACACATTCAGAGGAAGAACATCAAAACAAACAGAATAATTCAATCCTGACCGCAGGGTCCCACTGTCTATTTGTTGGAGTAATTAAAAAAAGATGAGATTCACCACCAATTAACCTACCAAGTGCTAATTAGTGTTAATGAGGATTCAAGGCACTTGCTGTAGCTTGACCCAGAATATCCTCCAGGGTTCACTAATTGGCTGATGATAAAAATGGGGCAAAAAGTCTTAAGGTGGATAGATGCAGAAGGATGAATGGACGGACAGACGGACAGACAACAGGCAGGCAGACACACATAACATTATAGAAACTGCAGGCATCCATTCATTCAGGTCTTAAAAACATTCCTGCTGATTCTTCTCCATCACTTTTCCACAACAAAAACAAAGAGCCACAGCTTTGCAGAGCAATGCTAGCTGGGTATTTGTAGATAACTTTTAAAAACTGGGGTCACTTATAAAGTACAGAAGACTTCTCCTAGGCAAACCTTATCCAAATGAGCAGGATCACTGCTGATTTCTTATGTGGCTAATTGCTTCTTTCTTATTCTTTTTAGCAGGAGTTGCTTTCAAGTAAATATGTTTTGAATTTCAGAAGCTGGAGGAAAGAAATGGGCCAGCAGCAGCCTGGGGACCTTAACTCAGAAAAAGATAGAGATATTCACCATTAAGCCAAAAAGAAAAGGAAAACATTGGGATAGGCAGGATAAGTTTCCTTTGTAAAACATTTCTTTTTAAAGACTGCTCTGCCATGAAATAATTGATATTCTCTACTAAATTCACAGATTGTTCATTGAAATGAGTATATGATTTCAAAATGCATGGCATATTTAAAGTATGAGCCTTGCATTGTCCCTCTGGTTCTTTTTAACAATTGTTTTATATCTTTATTACCTCTATCTATCCATCAATAGAGAATATTCTATTTGATCATTAGAAATCAAAAGTGATGGGACAAAACCAATTGGCCGTCTGCACACATATGCTCATTATGGACACAAATATTTATGTACACAGTTACATATACGTGCATATAATAACTTCTTTTTGAATGCCAAGTAATTGATAAATCCTATCGATGTCTACTAAAAAGGGTGTTTCTATTTTCAATGTGAGTTATATACACATACAGGATTGCAACCTTAGCTGGCACAGGGAGATAGGATTTTTTTTTTTTTCATACACAACAGTTTATTGCGACAGGAAGTAAAGTTCCAATAAAAAATTAGGAAACGAATATAGAGATGGCACTTCATTATTCTCACAATCGTATATGAAAAAAAATACGATTTAAAAATAGTTGCCTCTAGGGAAAATTCGAGGGTTTTGTGGTTTGTTTAATTACCTCAAACTGTTATTAGTACCTGCTGTTTAAGGAGTGTTTTCATTTAAATACAAGGCTGAATTACTTGTCAAGCTTTCTTTTGTGAAGTTGCCAGATCTTTAAAGTAAACAAAAGAAAATTTAACTCTGGATTAGATCTAGGACCCTGGCTTAATAGTAATGAGATGGAGCTATTTGTAAGTCTCTTGTTTTATACTGGGCCCTGTTTATTCCATTTATTCAACTGTGAAGGACCAATGTAAATCTAGGCCAATGTTTCTCACACAGCTTAAACTTGCCAAGATTGAGAAATAACTGCTGTAAAACAACCTGCTTCTGAGCATATAACTCAGTTGTGACCAAAGTGTTCTTATGTGGGTGTAAATTTTAATTTAATGGCTAGAGTCTGGGTTTCCTTTCCTCCTTGAACTAAGACGATTGTACTGAGGATGTCTGTATCACTAGGAAGCTACCCAGAGCACCAAAGTATGTCAGCAGGGATACCTATGTGGGAGGAGGGGCAGGGACTTCTCTTCTAGGGACTAGATAGGCATTGATATTCCCATATCCTGTCAAAATAAAGAGATCAGCAGTACAGCTTCCAAGGCTGG